ATTGCCACAGTCAGTACTATCTTATAAAGTAAACAATGATTTGCTTTCTTAAGAGGACATAGCTGTGTGGAAGAAATTTTGATGTCTACAGAAGCATGAATTGCTAGGAGCCTGTTCCAACATCATACCACGTTATTCTTTGCCTCCATAAATCTTTTGACTTTTTTGAATTATACTTCACATCCTTTCAACTCTCATTCTTCTGAATTCTGAACCCATTTCTATCCATGCTTCATTATTTTTATTCTCCTCATTCTTGTTTAGTTCTTCATCAGGCTTATGTCCCCTACACCTCACATCTCAGTCTGTCTTGGTTTCATGAGCTGGACAGTCAGTCTTCTAGATACACAGAATGCTGTGTGTCTTTGTTATAACACTTACTGGATAATCACCGTTTTCCTTCCAGCTTGTAGGTATCCTACATGATCAGTATCATGTTCCCAGTGATGTCGCTACACTGGCTACTCAAACGTTCCTGCACAACTTCCGTCTCTGCCCAGAAAACTGTGAGATGACCCTGGACAAGTGGCGACATCTGCTGTGGTGTCGAGCACTTGGACAGCAGTATAAACACATTGCAGGTTGTACACATGACTCTTAAGCCTTACCTTGTTGCCGTGAAGTGTCCTTGGTGCTTGTGTGTATAACATATACGAACACGTTGCAGGTGACATTTATGTGGAGTGGCTGGAACTGCGATACCGCTACCTGGCTGCCACACCAGATGTGTTGTCCCTCCTGTGCAAGCTACAGCAACACTATTTGCTAGGCCTGATCACAAATGGGCCATCCCGTGCACAGTGGGAGAAGGTAGAACGCTTGGACCTGCGACACTACTTTGACTGCATACTGGTTTCAGGAGACTTGCCATGGGAGAAGCCTCACCGAAACATCTTCCTGGAAGCATGTCATTACCTGGGGGTACAACCATGGCAGTGTCTTATGGTGGGAGATAAGCTGGAGACAGACATCAAGGGAGGCATTGAAGCATCACTGGCAGCAACAGTGTGGGTGCCCTTGTGCATGGAGCACCACTCCAGTCTAAAGCCACGTCCTGATTTTACCCTAGCAAGTATTACAGACCTGCCCAGCCTTCTTCCTTCAGTCCCAAAATCTCTTCTTCATTCCAGGCACAGTTCCAGTTCCAGTTTCCCATTCAATCTACCTGAAACTGAGGACTGCAGCAGCAACAGCAGTGATGGTAGTTGATGGGCTGATGGCAGCAGTAAACTGATCTGCATTTCATGTGTGGATGTTCTTTGAAGTGACAGTCGTGAACTATCTATCTCCACCATACATGTGATGTAGCAGCCATGTACTGCTGTCTGTGGGGTTTATAACAATTTGTATTACTGTTACTGTATAACATTTTAGCAATTTTCTTTCCTTACTTACTTATTTTCTTCCTTCCTTCTATATGTTCCCAAGCAGTGCTTTACTTATTGTTTTGCATATATTTTGGAGCATCTGTTTCAGTACCTGTCTGCAGTAGACTTAAACTGCATTTCTTGAAGATTTGAATCATCAGATCATCATGAAACCTAAATTTCATTAAGGTTCAAAGTGAATGCTTTCATTCCATCTATGAATCCACAATGTTGTTGGTCACTCTTCAAGCTGGTTTGCCCATAAGTGGGTGTGATGTATCCTAAGCCAGTATTGCAAGTAACTCTTGTTCCTCGTGCACCTGTAAAATTATTACTTTGAAATTTATTTTTAAACACTTTTTAGATCATCGAAAGTGGTAGGAGTACACCACAGGGAACTTCAATTTCATAAATGAGCAAGTTGGAAATATTTGTGTATATTAAGTAGGACACCTTGCGCAGTCTGGATCCACTGTATTATATATGAAATAAAGAAATAAAACTGATGGTTTCAATTTCTTTGTTAGCAATGTGGTATATAATATGTGTGGTTTAATTTCTACACAGATGTTCAGAACTAAAGGGTATGAGATTCAAGGTTCTCATGACGGTGATTACATCCATGCTGGTTTTGTGGGATATAATGCCATGTGGACTTGTGGGTAGACTAGATACAGTAATGTTCTGAACAAGCATACTACCTCCATCTTTGTTACTTCAAAACAGTATTCTGAGAAACAGTGAAACACAATTTGAACAAGGACTGGCCCACATGCAGATAAATTGCTCAGCTTGTGATGCAGAGTGACCACCCAGGACTGGTGAGCACTTCAGGTGTCCTCTGGGGCACTTTCCTGACCATGCAAGAAAGAAGCAGCATACCACAGCTGAAACTGACTGCAGTGTAACAAAAGGCCTTCCAAACTCTTTAACAATAAACTAACACACTGTCATATGTAAATACATCTCCATGTCAGCATATCACTGCCCAGGGGATTTTTGTACATTTGGCAAACATCTCACATTTTTCAATCAGCACTTTGCTTGCTTTCATACAAATGCCTTGTACCTTCTGATTTAGCTATCCCACAAATTTAAAATGGCCTTCCATATAGTACATACTTTTTTATGTGACAAAAGTTATGAAGAGAAGTTTCAGGGTGTCAGAACTTTGCTTAAGTTGAAGACAATACTGGGTTTGAAGTTCAAAACAATGCTAGGGATAAGAAAGTATTTGGTAGACTAAGGACAATACTGGGATGTGAACAGTGACAAAGAGTAACCTGAATGACTACAATATGCAAAAACAAAAACCCAAGCCCCCTTTCACTGGTTTAATTTAATTACATCAGTACTTGGCAATGTACAAAAATACCAATATGCTACATGAATATTTACCAGGTTCCTTTGTAAGGCACTGTAATACTTGTACTATTGCTGTATCCAAGGCAGTAGGACCAGGCCATCTGGTGCTTCAGGTTAACATGTATGCCTTCATCCTGTCCCCATCTGGCAAAGAGAGAGTTGGTGGTAATTTAGTGTTTTTGGGCATGCACCTACAACTATACTGTGTTACTCTCAACTCCCTGGACTGCGAATGCCGCGTTGTAATGCCTGCTATTGAATTTTATTTCTCTTATGTGAATTCACTGTGGAGGCTCCAATATTGTTTAAAGCTGTAATTGCACTGACCATTATGCAAGTCACTGCTCTAATGAATTAAGGTGACTTAATGGAGAAAACACGGTTTCGAGAACCATCTTTGTCCTCATCCTCAGGGTACTGTAGTTCAGTACCCTGAGGATGGGCTCTGGTTCCTCAAATTTATTCTGTCTCCACACTCCTTACCTTCTGCATGTACCCAGTTTCCTGTGACAGGAACTCACTTCTCTGAGCCACCTGGAAGAGCTCACCTCCACAGTCAGTCTGCAGGATGCCAAGCTGCTCGCACAGTCGGCCCACCTCTTCCTTCATCCGATCCTAAAATGAACATGGATCTCACCTCAGTGCTTGAGGTGGCATCTGATAAAAGCATTCAGAGTACTCTGCTGCCCTCACTCACCAAGTTTAGCTGCCCCTCATTGTCAGCTAAATGACGCTGGAACAGTTGCTGAAGTCCCCTATCACTGTAGATCCCTCGAGCCAGAACATCCTCTGTGATGTCATGCACAAACTTTACGTAAGCTGCATCTTCCTTCCTGCTAGCAAAAACAGAGAGGTGATACAATCATTCATTTAATACAATTCATCTTCTCAATTTCAATAAAATAACAACAAATTGAACAAAACTATAACTTTGGATCTTGCCTTGTGTGAGTGTGAAATTTGGTCTATCACTCTCAGGGAACAACACAGTGTTATGAATAATATTTGGTTTTAACAGTGAAGAGTAAAAGTGGAATGGAGAGAATTACACAACAGGGCTTTAAAGTGTACTTCTGATATTTTTTAAGAATGACTGATTAAAAAAGGTACTTCTGATATTTTTTAAGAATGACTTAATAAAAATTTGGTGTCAGAATGTAAGTGAAGTAAATAATATAAAAGTTTTGATAAACAGAGTCTGGGAAATACACTGTGAGACACGACGTGGAGTGAACTGCTGGTACACTCACCTCTGCAATTGTACCATGTCAAGAGTTGCACCCTTCTGTGTGGGACACATGACCACTGGAGTTGGCCCACGGCTCTCTGCACTTGAAGATGTACCGCCATTGTATGCAGAGTCATGACTCGACTCCTGTGGTCAATGCAGAGCGATGGAAATCATAAGTTGAATCCCAAACACTACATTAAAATAGGTGACTGTAAACGTAGCTGCAGGAAGGAACGCATGCAGTAATTTATTATTATGGACCACGTATCATAAGAGTTTTCTAACAGCAGTGGGATCCTGTACATGTACTTGTACAGTGCTCCATTAGTTACAAATAGCAACTCACAGGGTGGACTGAAGGGCATTTATAGTCATAACATCAGATATTATTTCCTCCTGTTCATTTAACACTCCACTGAAACGTAATCTGTACAGCTTATGTCTATCAGCTGCCATCAAAATTTCTATTCCATATGCCACATTTTTTGTACAACATAACTTCAAACATCCGTGACATTTTCACAAACATCAATACGAACCCAGAGCACTATGAACACCAACCTTGCTGCTGACATGTTTCTGAGCATCGCAGAGATCGGAACACCTCGCAGATGTCCTGCCTGACATCACTTCCTCTTCACTCTGTTGGTGCTGCAGCTTCTGCTGCTCCTGTAATAACAACAGACACTTTATTCTGAATTATACAATTACACTTCAGACCAAAATAAAGTCTTAATGCAACAACAGCCAACAAACCATAGAACAGAAGCGAGCGGCAAGAAGCACTCTTGTCCTGTACAATCTCAAGTATTTGGAGAGATGAAGTGGGGAACAGAGGAAATTACACCCAGAACTCTGATATTAGAGGATAATATTAAAATAGGTGTAAGAATGGGAGGATGAAACAGTAGGTTTTTGAGTCAGCAGTGCTGAACTGCTTTTCTTTTGTGCAAAGCAGCCACATTTCCATAAGAAACAATACACAAGGAAATGTCTTTTCTTACGTGCAGTCTGCCATGATGAGAGAGCCTAATCTTTCTGCTTGCAGGATGGTACACTCTGGAGTCATGCAGCCTTGACTGTGTCTCTGTCTTCAGGATGCGAGGCCTGAATGCTCGGTCAGGTGACGTGAATCTCTTGGCATGCTGGTCCATGATGTCTGGCAATGGGACCTGTACAAGAATTACCTGTCACACCAGCTACTTAGACACTGTTGACAACAATATAACAAACAAAACTGTTCTACATGAAGATGACTGTCTTGTGAGTTGTTTCACATGCTTTAACTGTTTATATTTACTGCAACCTTTCCTTATTCACAATAATTTAATAAATAAAGAAGATAGTAAGAGTATAGGTATATAGTGTGTACTTAACAGGCACAGCTGGCAGAAGGAAATATAAATGACACACATAAACAAAACAGAAATGACAAAACCTGTTCACTGTGGGATGATCCAAGGACATTAAGCTGTTTAAACTTTATACTGAATGAATAAACAATAAACACTAAGGCTTTACTGCTATTAAAGACAGTAAAAGGAAATTAAATATACCAGTATATAACTTGTTTCATACTTGCTTCAAAGTTATACTCATGACCTGAGAATCTTTCATCAACTTCAGTCGCCGCAAAAGCTTCACTTTATACAAACCTGATTTTAATGCAGTCTACATGCAATTAAGACTTTTTCTTTCCCTTAAGTACTGCAATCTTCTCTTGAAGCAACTGAAGCATTTATTTTTGTGTAGAATAACCTACTATAACAAGACTACATCAAGAAAATCTTATGCTCTTATGTAAACTGGTCATTAAAATTTATTTAAATAAAAATTCAAATGGCTTGACAGTTGTTTTCACATACTACTACAATATCAACTTTAATCAAAATTGGTTTATCCATTATGAACCTGTTTCATTCATATGGATGGATGGACCAAGCGATTTTAATAGTCACTTTACTTTGCAGAGATTCCAGACAGATAAAGTATCAGCCAAATTAAATGGAAAAATAAAATCCAACCATTAACAAACTACATGTAATTAATCCTAGCACTTAACTGCAATGTCGTAACTTTGGTACTTGGAAATTTTCCTGATCCAATTTCCTAAACCTAACTAGGGTCAAAATTAGTGTTTGAGTTCAGTACTTTTCTATCGTACACTCAAAAGCATGTAGCCCTGGGCCTTTTGTGCTACATGTACAAGCTCTTCAGGATCATACCCCCACACACAGGCAGGACAGATTTGAAAAACTTTTACAATTCGTTAACTGTTCTCACCATAAATAGGCTGCTGCTTAATGTCCCTATAACACCGGTGACAATTTATCTGTATGACTAATGACTAAACAACTACGAGAAGCAAGTATCAACACTCACCCTCCTGCAGTAATTCGATGATTCTTTGCTTGCTGGAGGCCTGCACAGAGTCCTACAGGTGTTCCTCCCTCGATGATGTTGCAGTTCCCCTTCTACAAACTGATGTTGCTGTTTGTGGGAAGCCACAGCCCCGGTTTGTCTCAGCTTCTCTTGTTCTGTCCAGGTGCATCCCCTTAACAGCATCACACATTTATGTTTGATACGTGGCTGCTTGAGTAATCACATAAGAGACAGCAGTGACACTACTGTCCTCATTCAATATAAATCAGAACAGAATGTACAGCATCAAATGAGAAATTATATCATGTTAAAGAATGATGGTCCTGGCCTGTTTTAAGGTATCATACAAACCCATAAATTCTAGGAGAAAAGTCTACTTTAGAATAATAGAACACTGTGATATTCCAAATAAAGCAATTGAATACTCACGAGTATGTATGCGATGACTGCTTTGCATCATTTGCAATGTTTCTGGCGAGTCCAAGTTCACAATCAACGGGACCGTATGAGGAAACGTCTGACTGAGAGTTGGTGTGATGGTGCCGTCTCCTCCTGGCACTGTGGTTCAACTTATAAGCGCACGGAGGTGAAGTATCCACTGTGCACTTAGCATTACAGATGCGCCGGTAGTGGCTGCTCATATGAAGGTACAGCAAGTGGTTCCCAACAGACAGCTTGCATGCTGCGCACAACACATCATCATAAACGTCTTCCACTAACGTTTTCAACAGGCTGACCAGTTTCCAACAAAGTTGGTATGCGGGTCATGCCACAGGAAGTCAACCAACATTCAAAAGTATTATTTCCATACCATCAACAATAAGAACAGGGAGGTCATGCACACGTCTAAATTAGGAGAAACATTACTGCAAATTAATTAAATGTCTGAAATGCAGTCTTGTGGGTTATGACACCCACACAGTCTTCTAGCTGGTTATTTGAGTTCTGAAGGAACCTCAGATGGAAACAGTAAGTTCCTCCAAAACAATATTAATCACTTACAAGATGACACAGCACCATAACCCAGCACACTGCAATCACAAACTGTTGCTGCTCTGAAAACTTCAAATCTCATATAATAAAATGTATGGTGGTAGGTCTTTGAAAAATATGAAACTTTTGTTAATAAGAATGAATAGTAACAACACACTGCCATGGTGGTCTAGCGGTCAGAACACTAGCCTTGTAATTCTGGGGTCCTGGGTTCAATTCCCGGTGGTGCTCAGATTTATAACTTGTGTTGGGCAAGGCCGTGGTCTAGGCATCACAGAGTTTTCCTCCGGGGGCTTCCCCGGTTTCTCCGTGGCATCCCAACAATTACTCCACTCACACACACAGAAGAAGAAGGCAATGGCAAACCACTTCTGGATCATCTGCCAAGAACGTATATGAACAGGTCCCAGTCCGAGAAAAGGATCGAAGGATCCTGTTCATATGGACCTATCGTCAGACAGAACACTACAAATAAAAAAAGTAACAACACACAAGCCATATGCTACATAAGCTGTGGAATTCAAGGTGGGTGAATCCATGCTAAGACAGGCTTTCTGAGAAGTTCAGAATTCAGAAACTAGGGTAACTGGGAACTCAAGATGAATTCTGTGGGGACTGTTAGAGCAAGCTACCCAATTTCTTGAAAACTGCATACCAGTATTTCTGTAAATAAGAGGCAGACCATTGGAAGATCTCTGAATGCAGGAACCATTACTGGCTTAGCACTTCAAATGCTGCAATTTACTGGGAAGAAAAGATTACCCAAAATTTACATAGAAATGGCCTATTTACAAATTTTATATAACCATTTGAAACACAAGTACAGAAAGGCACTTTGTTTTCCAAAGAGTATCTAATTAGGAATTTATAATTTTCTTTTGCAGGTTGTTACATCACAAACAAATTAAAGTGAGCATCAAAACCATAAAATCACAAAAATACCTTATGATAGCATCAATGAATTTCATGTTTGAGACCAGTTCCACATTTCTAATAATTTTTGTTCTGATGGTCTCCACAAATAAAAGACATGTACCATGATGTACAAGTGAAAAGGTATATTTATTGATATGAAATAATGAATTTTAGAACAATACTTTGTGCTTCAGTACACTTGGAAACTTATGGTCCAGAGAAAATGCCACTATGCCCTGAGACATATATTACATACATCCGAGAACATAACGGCAGTCCACTTCATCTGATGTAATGTATATGATACCAAAACGAAATTCCATATAACAATAATTCAGCATTCTGAACATTAGCCTGAAAATGGCTGTCATTTGGGATGTAGCAACATGTAGTCTGGTAGAAGTTTACCAACATTTCAGAGGCCTTTGCTGCCTCCATCATCAGGGCAATGAGTATGTGACTACAACCCAGAAGACAGCCATCTTAATGCTCTGCCATGAGAACCTCAAATCCTACTTAATTAACCTGAAGCTCTCAGATATGCCTTGTGTCATTTATTTCTTTAAATCTTGCACTTCAGGATAATACGAAGTAGACTTGTGGAGTTAGTTTCAAATATGAGGTATAGTGAAGATTTCTGTCATCTGGGTTGTTGCGCTGTGTAGACTGGTCGATGTTAACCAACGTTTCAGAGGTAATACTGCCTCCGTCATCACCCTGATGACGGAGGCAGTATGACCTCTGAAACGTTGGTTAAAATCTACCAGATGACACAGCGCAACAACCCAGAAGACAGAAATCTTCATACTCACTGCTGTGAAAACCTCAAATCTTACATGAGGTATAGTGCTGCCAACTCAAGGAATTCTCATAAATTTGTGTACTTGGCTTTATGCTCTTTTGAACAGATCCCCATGAGGGCCCTATTATGACGATAACAGCCTTTTGGTATGTTACACCATGTAATCTCACAGAAGTAGACCAATGTTTCAGAGGTACTTACCACCTCCATAAACAGGGCCCTGGTAATGAGGGCAGTAAAAACCTCTCAAATATCAGTCAACATTTACCAGACTGCATGTTGCAATATCCCAACTGCTTTCAATACTAGGAACAGTTCCATTTCCCACATGAAATATAACCTTAAAATAAAGGGAAAAGTACAGCCAACTCCTACCAAGTCAGAATATTAAGTTCTACAAACCGACAAAAAGAAAGAAATCGAATTTCATCTATTTAAAAACTTCATTTATTTAATGTTTTAATCTGTGTTTACCTCCTAACAAAATGATGGCTTGTGTGTTGTATCAATAATATTCAAAACATAATTACCATTGCCTCCAACATAACTGGATGGTTTCATGATGGCCATCAGCTTCCTACAAAGTAATTACTGAAAAACAATAAAACATTAGACTCTGCACGACTTATTCTACCAGTTTACAAACTAACATGGAGATGTAACATGGAGATTATTACAAAACACACTCATGCGATTTAACTCTCTGAACTGTTTGAGAGCAAAATTAAATGTGCTAAAAATCTGGCTGGAGACTGAATGAACCACCAAAACAAGTAAGTCTGTGCAAAATTGTTTGAACAAAGTCAGTTTTTGCACCACACTTCATCATCCCAATAAAATAATATAACCACTACAATTCAACTGTTGGATGACCGACATACATAGCACAGAAAAATCATGGGCATTTCCTAATTTCTTCTTCTACTTCTTATTCTGTCATCTTCCAGCACGTGATCCATTGTTCTTGAATCAGTACACGACAAGAGACACACCACGGATGTAAAACGCTATCACATCAAGTCTCATCCAGCCGTGATACTAAGGTTTAAAAGTGTAAATAATTTTACACATTTAATTGTTTAAAATACTTAAAAATACTCAAGCCAGCATTGAAAGATCAGCTTTTATCTCACTCCTATTCTACTTTAGAATTTATTTAAATTGAAAATTATCAAATAATAATAATCATTAATCTAAATGAAAATGTTATAAGGGACACAATTTGTCAAGTAAAAAAGATTGATACCTGGTTTCTATTTGCAAACTTAATTCAAATGTGAACACCACTCTAAAAAGACAATAAAATTATAAGCATGTGTGAAATGAAACGCCAAAGGAAATAATTACTACTAAAAATTAACAGTATTCAACACATACTTTTAAACAAAGATAACAAAAATTAATTTAAAACTGCTTATTGTGGTATGTAACCTAAGCTTGGGGTGACATTCATGTAAAAAAAATATATCAAATAGTTACGTAATAGACATCATACTCTCTACCCCACGTACCTGAATCTGCTTATGCAGTAATATTTTCACTGCCTTTATTGTCATTCAAACATTCGGATTTTGACAACTGAACCGAAACAAATTAAGGAACAGAATTTCAGCTAACCTTCGCTTTCTTCTTTTATACATCGACGGTGTTCCACCTTGTGAATAAATTCTGAAACTACTAGGCATAGACGCCTTTATCTATTGTATTTTAATCAACGACTTCTATACGACCCAAATCGTGTGTTTTTGTTTGTAGTCTGTGACATAATAATCAACACGAGCATCGGTAGAATAGTGGTTTTTGGGGTTATTGTAACGTGTAGTCGCATAAGTTTACCGACATAACAAAGAATCTTGCTGCGTCCATTACCAAGGCGTCGAGATGACCAGTAAGATAGCCATCTTCATACTCACAGCCGTGAGAACGTGAAATCTTACTAAGAACCGTACATCTCATATTAAGAACAGTAATGGCAGCCACGCTGTTAATTGATAGAACGGGAAAGATCATTCTTAGGGGACTGTTTGTTGCAGAAAGGTATATACAGTCTGACAGGTAATTCCGCAATGAATGTCATTGCTATGTTAAATGATACATAAATGCACGTGGTTAGGTTTGTAGGATTTGAGGTTTTCACGGCGTGAAGATGGCCGTCTTCTGGGTTCTTGCGCCGTGTAGTCTGGTAGAAGTTTACCGACGTTTCAGAGGTCCTTGTCACTATCATCAGGACACTCATCGCCCTGATTATGGAGGCAGCAAGGACCTCTGAAATGTCGGTAAATTTCTACCAGACTACACAGCGCAACAACCCAGATGACAGCAATCTTCTCATTACAGGTTACAAGTTTATGGTGTATACAGTACACTTAATTTGGGTAGAATTGTTTGCATTGGAATTTCAAATATTTTACTACCCTTCTTACTTAGGGCAGAACAGCAGCAGTGAAACAATTTCAGCAGTTGGTGACTCTGACAATGAGGATGTGGACATCAGCGGATGTAACACGGGATGGGCTGATGCTATGTCCCGAGTTCTTAGGTCGAAGAAACCTAAAAAAAGCCGGTCTGTCGTCTTGTCTAGAGCCAAGAAGTTGAATGATGCAGCCAAAACAGTAAAGGAAGAAGATACAGAGTTAGAGGTAGGAGACATCAAGCCCAGGATTTCAAGTCTGAATGAACAACGCTCTAGAAGGAAGGTTGGTAATCATGTACATGTAATTTGGCTATCTTTTTGCAGTAGTAGTTTAAACTTTTGATAACTGTTCTGTAATAATTTTTTTGTAAATTTTTCTCAGCAAGAGCAGAAGTCCAAGTGCAGAGTAAAGCCAAATATTCTGGACCATGACTATGAGAGAAGGCTGAACAGGATTGCAACCAGGTATTTACATGCCTCATTCCTTTCCACACTTGTGCCTGGTCACTGCTCATGTCTGACATTAGGGTCAGAATCTTTTATGAGGCCTCAACTTGGGTAACATGTTTTCTTTATATTTGGGTGTCATGGAGAAAATAAAACTACTTAACAGACCAAGCGTCTTCAGCAATGGATGTAACAATTGTCAGATTTGAAGTTCTCACAGTGATGAAGAGGACATTGTTCTTATGGATTGTGACTATGAGTCCACATGGCACTAGAACCCAGACATAATGTAACTTATTCTAATCTAATCAGAACTTAATGGTTCACAGTATAACCTAACCTAAGCTAACTTAGAAGGAATATGAGAATAACACTGACAATGCAATGGCTTACAGGGGTGTGGTGCAACTGTTTAATGCAGTACGCCAGCAACAGAAGAGTCTGGAGTGTCAGCTGAAGGAGGCCGGTAGTTCAGAGAGAAAGAGGGATAAAGTAATGAAGTCACTGGACAAGCGAGCATTCATCGATATCCTGCTGGGCAGTTCTCGCAGTGAACCTGTGGACAGTCCTGTGAAGTTAGAGGCTGAAATTAAGGTAAGAAAGGCACAAACTATCATGCTCTTTGAAGGTGTAATGTAAGGTTTTTTTATATTCCTGAATTATGTTGCAGAGGGAGGAGGAGGAGGAACAGTACAATACATGGCATGTCCTGCGTGATGACTTCATGTTAGGAACAGCTCGACTTAAGGACTGGGACAAGACTGATGCACCCACGTAAAGACTGAGTGGCTGCAGTGTTGTTAGTTCTTCATGAAATTAAATGTTGTAAATTGTTCCTAAAATTCATGTCTGAAGTATTTCATTGCAGGTCAATCTGGGTTAAGGGCCAGAAAGTGTAAGTTTTGAAAATGTCTGTTCCTGTATCAAAAAAGTCTTTGAGATAAAGTTTTTAGAGATTTTATTATGCGTTTTAATAACATAAGGGTGAAAGTCACCTGAAAGGCATATTTATAACACAGCAAATTTGGCAAATGTTAAGGTGCCTTTATTCATTGTGTATGGTGGTTGTAGCTTTGTCTTCAAGTTCATGAAGGAAAAGCACACAACAGTGATGCACTAAATTGAGTGGCAGGGTTACCAACGTCTCCAAACTAAGTTCTTTTACCTAAAGCAGAAACGAATGAATTCAGCAGCCTTCTTGGTTCGAAACCTGAATTACATGACAGATTGCAGATTTACTTCAACAAATGAATGGCTGTGATTTACAAATAATGTCCTGCTCTGTGTAATGAAATTCACATACTTACAAGCATCATTAGAATGTTTTCATAAGGCAGCATAGTAGCAAGATTGCCAATTCTCTCAGATTGTGTGCCAGTTAATGATAATCCAGTCCACACACCAATGCCAGTGAAATGTGGTTTTTATGCTGACCATCAGTCAACGGACAACACTAAGGGGCATGCCGTCAAGTACAGGTACTGCATTGTCCATTGTAGATCTGTACGTGGCACGACATCTGTAATCCAGTTCAAAATCATTATATGAGAACTGGCAATCCTAAACAGTAAAACAAATACAAGCAGCGTAGTTGAACACACATTAGTCGGAGTAGTAGAAGCCCTTCTGCACTGGTTGTTTTGTTAAAATCAGGTACAATATGGTTTGATGCAGCAGCTCACAAATTTTTGATCTGTCCTTATGTTGAGCTGGGCAGACTGTATACCTGTCATAACAAGTGGAGCTGGTTAATACACTGAGATCACTGTGCGTGGTAGTATCTTGTAGTCTGCTGGTCAGTGGACACTAGTGAGTAATTAATGTGGTATATGTTGGCAAGAGATAACATTGAGGCTTGTGTGTAGAAGGTGCCAACTGGATACAAGGGCAGCCAAACTTAATCTAGGAAATTATTATTCTGTATATCTTGATGCACGTTTATAATCTTCTACATGTTATCTCCTATCAAGCCAGAGCTTAAATACATATCTGTGCAGCCCTCATGCTGTTATCCATTAGCTGAACCAAGTTGCATTTTACTAACTTCCCAACATGAAGACCTTAGCATGAAAGAGTTCTTCACACTTCAGAATTTTGTATTAGCTCTGTGTACGATACAGAGTCTAAATATGATAGCACACAGTACATGTTGCAGGACACCAGTTGGATCACCCTGTATTATGCAGCAGTCATACTGTGCACACAAAACTCAGCCCTCATGTCCTTCAACAGGCTGCAACACAAGCAATATTAAAACCAAAACAAGGTCTGCAATGGTTTTATCACAAGAGAATGAATGATCTTGGTAGAAGCCAAAAGCTGTCGCCTGTAGCAACAGACCCATTCAGCTGTCTTATTTGTAATAAATGAACAAGAGATAAAACCAAAACTGACAAGTCCAGTCTACATATAGTACCAATACCAAACGGCTTCTCACGCCAAGTGGCCAACATAGTACTAGTACAAACTCAACGTCCAAAAATTAGCAAAAATGAAACTGCAGTATTGGAATCAAGTTCTGAGTGAGAAACCCCTATGAATGTAATCTCAGTGCAGAGTACAGCAAGGTTATGCTTTCACAAATGACTTGCTGAACATCCATAAACCAAGCCTTTCGTTGTCACTCATAACACAACTGCACTGAAGTAGGAATCATTTTCTGTACAGGATTCCAGCAGTGCAGTAAAAACTGGATGGGTAATCACAGCAAAACTGCAAAATGTATGCTTAGAGGACCAGGCATCAGACAGGAAATGCCACCAAGTCTTGACAGTTTACTACGAGAAATGTGATGTAGGCCTCTGTTCGGGGTGCATTTTGAAAAATACTGTACAAAGGCGAATCACTGGGAGTAATTTTCTGAGAAAGCTGTGCTTTATGAATATGTGTTTATTAGTAAATAGCTATACTATGATACAATGATCAAGTTTTCTAACTGTGGTATTAACGATATATAACGATCATCAAAATGTAAGCAACCCATTTTTATCTTGAAACTGCTTTTGTGTGTGAAAAATCCACACGTTTATGATGATAAACTATATATATATATATTTTTACCTTCCGTTATACTACGGTGGAGATTTTTAACATTTGAACACCCCCGGCCTGAACATGTCAACAGACAACTGGAAATATTGCAGCAGCCTTCAATTACCTGAATCAATTTTGCATGTGCACTCTGCATTTCCTGCCTTTTGGTCTTCCAGTAATTTTGCAGATGCTTGTGGCTATATCTCCAAAGTTGCATGCCATACAAACGATGCTCTTTCAGTATTGGCTGAGGTAGGAGAGGACCTGAAAGTTATAATTTGCAGATAGGTGAGTGATCAAATAGCCTGCTATTAACACAGACTTAACTCCCTCACATGCTTGACAATAAAGTCAGAGAAGCACCAAGTTACTATCCTAACCAAATAAGTGCTTCAAAAGCAGAAAAAGTTATGAATAAAAGGAGAGCAACTGATATTGTGACGGAGCACATCACATGCACGTCCAGTGCCAGGCATTCACTCATACACACATGCGCACACCCCCTCGTATCACCGTCACTTTATATGATCACACTCTACTCTCCCGGATTTCTCCTGGCTGGTACTCTTCAATCACAGTTTCTGGTGACTCTTGTGATTGGATTTCATCATATGATGGTGGCAGATCAGCAAAACTTTCACATCCAAAAATTGATTCATAGGTTGGAGGGAGGAGTCCACTGAGTGTAGGTGAGATGCAGCCATCCTTGCTGTTGGTCTCAGAGTCCACATCCAGGATACTGGGGCTGCTGTCTGCAAGGCTGTTGAGCGTGACAGTGGGCGTGCATCGCTCTTGGGCCTGCACAACATTTTCCCCAAGCTCAATAAGGTCAAGTCCACTTCTGTCTGCTTGTAGTTGTGCAAACACAGAACCATCCACCACAAGCATGCGGCCATAAGGCAGCAAGATTATTGTTGGGGTGGCCACCATGCCCTGGTCCACACTCAGCCCTATGTTAGATGCTGGTGCTTCAATATCTCCCTGACTGCTCGCTCTGTTGATGTAGCAACAGGAACAGCAGCGACGACGGCAGAAAGAGCGACAACAGGGCGCCCCCCAACAGCAGTAAGCAAGAATGAAGCACAGTACTGCAATCATTACTAGCAGGGCTGCCAACCCCTGGCCCTGCTGTGTGTGCACTGCAGTGCTCCCACCTCCAGATGAGGAACCCATCTTTCCTGCAAACATACAAACTTGACAGATTAACTGAGCCAATGGACTGAAGAAACGGGGATGGGTAAAATTTGGGAACGACAGGATTATGCTGAAGACAACACCTGTTGCCAAGAGACTAAAACACGAGGAACTAGATATATAGATGAATCCTCTAATTTCAACCTACAATTGCACAGAATGCCCCATCCTGTAGTCTGTGCTATTATTTGATAGGTACCATCTTAAACCAAGATGTATGTAACCTAGAATATTAATATGTTATGCCTATACGTTTTGTCTGAAACATTTTTGCTCAACTGTATATTTATTGAAATATGTCTACAAATGTATTTAGGTCTTCACATACCACACTGTACAGAACACAACTATTTATGTAATTTTGATCTATACCTTTTATTTACTAGAAGCAGTATGAACTGTGTTCAGATGTTCAAACAGTTGAGTGATTTGTCTCAGAACACAACAGATATCTTGCTTTGCTTCATAGAAAAATGTAACTGCCTCAAATCAAGAAGACAATTCTGAAAAGTGAGTGCCACATTCAATACCAGCAGTACGAAAGTGTGAATTTATGCAAAGGTGTCCATCTACTGAACGAAGAATACAAAACTACCTCATGAGTGTCAAAGCTCACCATATTGATTGGTTTGTCGCAGAGCCTCCATGTTCACATCCGTCGGCTGCAAGGAACAACAAACAGTTTCACATCCCCGATGTTCACGTATTGCAGACACTAATTTAGCAAAGCCATGCTGCATGCATTCAACTGAATCTGAATTTTACATCATGTGGACTGGAATGGTATTTACATTGTCCTTGTACTAAATTTAATTGTCATCCAAGTGACAGAACATATTGACTGATTACCTCTTCATTACACGTTCACTTTTTTCCCCAATACAAAGAGCAGATACCAATTTATTCATTACAGAAGCACAATGTAATATTACTGTCCTGACAATCAATCTAATTTGCATGACAGGTCCTGCATTAAACAGAAATCTGCCCTTGTTGGTCAGTGTTCCTGGTCCTTAGAATACGGTGTAAAATTACGCCCAGATGAATGGAAATTAAAACAAAACGTCACGTAAAATACTCGTGAGTATGTATTGTTTTATCTTCGTATAATTTTGTACCGTGCTGTATTTCTTGGATGTATCTGAAAGAACATTCTTGTCACCAATAAAGAACCGATCGAACTGTCAACAGAATGCGAGCACATTAACTACAGTAACGCAGGAATTCAACTCACATGGTTCAATCCAATCGATACGGTAGTAGCCGCTGCTGCTGCAGTCAACAAGCGGCAGGGCCTGTCTTCACGTCTCCAAACTCTTTCTCAGAGGCTTACCGACCAAGATACTCTACGCACTGGCCGTTATCGACTGCCCCGCCCCGCAGTTATCCATCAACTTCACATCACCACAATCAACGAAGTTCCCAATTTCAATATTCTTACGTACATGCGTAACGTTATCCTTCATCAATATTTCCTTACACATTCTGCATGCATTTCTTGTTTTCGCCATACCAGCCTTAATTTAACATTATTCTGAGCCATACAGGCCTTGCTACTGCCGTACACGTGTTCGAATCCCGTATCTGAGTACGCTAACTTCATGGAATCACATCACAGAGACACGTGTCTGTATTTGAACCTACGTTTCTCCAAGGAAATCTTCAAACGGTTTTCTAAGTAAGTAGTACTTGAGATTCTCACGGCGGTGGGTACGAAGTTGGCTGTCTTCCGGGTTGCCGCGCCGTGTAATCTGGTAGAAATTTACCGACGTTTTAGAGGTTCTTGCCGCCTGGCTCCCAGGCCCTCTCCCGACCCTGCTCCCAACTGGCCTGGCCAAGGTTCTGCTTTGACTAACGGGTTCGCATATCTCAAACCGATTCCTCGGGCGCGGCTTACACATCGTCCTGATAATGCAGGTAGCAATAACGTCTGAAACGTCGGTAAATTTCTACCAGATCACAAGCCATTACAATCCAGAAGACAAAACATCTTCAAAAGGGTTTACCATCAATCTGATGCTGCCCTGTAGTGGGTTCTGGTCCCAGGATTTTAAATGAAAGTATATGAATAAATATTGATTACAATAAACTCACGCATTGCAGTCTTGTCTGACCTTGGATGGATGCTTGGGGACAGAACAGGGACGGGACGAAGAGAGGAATGGACGTGCTGCAAAAGTAAGAAAATTCAATGTCACAGTACGCCAAGCTCGTCATATAATTATTATCAACAGTGAATAACACGTTTCACACATCATTAGCCTTGATATTATTTGTTGCTGACACAAACCAAACGTTGCGGAGCTACGTGCATTTAACGGCAGGAAAGATGGTAAAGATAAACTGGAAACGGTCGCTTATTTCAAAAAAAGAAACTTGTGCGTACAAAAGCTAGATTCCAAAACTAATATGCATTACAAAGTAAGCGCAGGCCAGACAAGTATATGCTTTAATTGGAACCGCTGTCTTCATTGCAGACATCAAGGATAAATGAGAAATACAGCCTCCCAGAAATAACTCTGCATGAGATGTGTCTGGCTGAGGATAGGGCCCAAAGATAATTTTTGTGAGCAACGAAATGAAAGTTAAGAATCTACAAAAGACAGAACCAACTACGGTCACTCAAATTACTTGTTTAGTCTGCAGTGCGAATGCTACTTGAGGCATGGACAGACAGGGGGGGCCATGTGATGGGCTGATCCCCCATTAAAGGAGTCCAACTAAGAGTTCTCCATCACACCTGTGTGGTGTGAAGTTTCCATGACTCCTGCATGAGAGGTCTCTCATCCAGGACTGAGCCAGCTGAATCAGATCCTAAAAAGCCATGTCTGTTGCTAAATAATGTACACAGCACTGTTATTCAGTGGACAAGTGACTGCTGGGGTATCAAGCTCATGACCATTCATTCATTACCTTTTTCTGGGGGTTTTGCTATGGGCTACACAAACAAGAAAATAAAACATGTGAGGAAACCAGAGAGTATGGATTCATACAAACAAGTATTACTTGTGTTTTACTTCATGTACAATTTCCATACTTTACAAATCCACGAGTTTCTTTTCTGTTCATCTACGAATGTCACTGGCTTCAGTACTTACTTACAAATTCTGGAAGATGAGCCAAGTATGGATGCAGTTTATGTAGATTCCAGTACAGGATCTGCAAATGAGGCATGATGTCTGGGTCTGACATTACAATCTGCATACAGAGAAAACAAAACATAATACCCTGTGGTTTTCTCCCCATTAGTAGTCGCATAAAATATTGTTCATTAATACCGTAGAGAGAAAAGTGAAATCAGAATGGGACTTGGGGCCTTTAATCACATGTTCAAAAATCATGTCAGTGAGTTTAGCGTTCTCTACCTTGAATTGAGAATGTTATCAATCACGACAAGTCACGGTCAGCGCCTGTGACGTCACATCATGCCTCTGTGGCATTATTCTAATGCATCCAGGTTCAAGAATGAATGCTACTTATTTATGGTTTATTTAGGATGAAACCAAGTGACTTCGCAAGACCCCACTAAGCAAACCACTGTACTTCACACAAAGTGTAAGACTGCTACAGAAGGCGGTTGTCAATCACCTGACCCTCTAGTGAACTATTTCCAATAGCCTCTCCTACACAATGGTATATCCTGTTTTCATGAAAAAGTCTCTGACACTCAAGTTATAGGCATGTAAGTGTTACATCAGTCCTGGAGCAAAAGCTAGACACAGAGCCTGTCCATCAAAGACATCTCCATACTTTCTGCATAGCAACCGATTGCTCTCGTGGTGTGAAGGGCTCTGCTTTGTGATATCCACATCTCAACAGGCCTGATACTGGAAGGGACGATGATTAGTGAATGATCAATGCAAAAGGGAGCAGTCATGCCATAGTTCAAGCTGCTATCCTGTTATTTGCCTGGAGGAACTATGGGAAGCCATGATAAACCTGTGGGAATAGTTAAGTCTCCAGGTCAAGATTTGAATCGAGGACCTCCAGACTATGAAGCATGACTACAGTGGAGCAGATTTACAATATTTTCCAAACTGTTGTAACAGAAGTGAAGACATGCCTGAACTAAAGTTTTCCTTTTTCCAAAAATGAATAGGATTTTTGCTCTGCTTGCATTTCTGAAGAAAATTTTCACAATTTATGAAATATCTTCCAGTACTATTAGTTCAAACTAACACCACATACAGTCACTTCCTTACATTACTATTCTTACCAGCCTTGCACATTCATCCCCTTTTAGTTATTTAATGCTCTGTGTGATTTCTTTTGACAGGGCACTCATGGACTGTCAGAGAACTGGACAAAGCTTACAACCATATCTTGATCACAGAAGTAATGAACAGAACAGCAGACAGGAGTGAAATTACAACCCACCCTCATGAAAATGTCAAAGGATGATAATGAACTCAGTTGAAAAGCATTTGTATGGTGCAGTAATTTGGGAATGTGCACAGAATGGAACACAGGTCAGGAAGATGAAGAAATGACTCATTAGATTGGGTGAGGAGATACTGAGGAATGCCATGTAAATTATGACAGGTCCTAGAAAAATGGAGTAATTCAACATGAAGAATAAGACAGTGAATTCTTTCTGCTTTTGTACAAACCATTATGTTTATTTCAAATAATACAATAAAGAATCCCATTATAAAAATAATATTAAAATGTATTATTGGGGGGGGAATTCCACAGAAAAAACAGTAACATGCATGAGGCTGATGGTAACAGCAAAAATACTAATACAGATCTCAGTGTCCACAAGAAACTTGTCAAATATTCATTGGCTGATCTTCATGGAGTAACACCAAATTCAAGATCAAGGACAGGAAGGAATGCAATTTATTCCACACAGAGTTCAAAGCTCTCGATCTCACTGAACTGTGCCCTCACATTGGCAACCCACTTCTTGATGGTCCTCTCCTGCAACATGAGACCCAGGGGACTTCACTCCCACACACGTAACTATTTTGCACACACAACTCATCACACTGAAGAGATCCAATATTAGTGTATCACAATGAGAGACCATGACTAACTTCATGCCAATGCCAATTCACATCCTCACAACTAGTTTCTTAACTTAAAGAGAATTGTTCACTCGATATTTTATCATCACAAAATATATAGAACACAGTATTCAACTAGAGACAATATATCATTATAAAGCTTTTTAACAATGGTCCACAAAGACTATTTATGATGCTGTCAGGACACTTTAATTTTTAATTGTTAAATAACAGGCAATGGATAATGTTTTAACAAAACACCACTAAAAGTATATACAAGTAAAACAAGGTGAGAATATTCAATTACTCCATACCAACTGATCCCCCCTCACATTTGAAATACAATACTAAACTGTAAAGCCAATTCTGCCTTCAGCAACATATAAACTGGATCAGTCTTTGGCAAATTCTACACTGTAACTTTGCCATGTTAAAATAGTGAACTACAGTCACAGAGACTGCTCACAGAACCAAAATTCCATTCAGGTCAACTTCTATTATGATTCAATGTTATGCACAAATCTGTAAGCTACATCATTATAAACACCAAGAAACCTACAGTCCTGCACAGACACACACAGATTTTTTAATGCACACTACTTAATTAAAAATGGAATATTTAAATCTGGTTTATTAAAATATAAATGATATGTAATACATAATGGACCCATTATGGTAACTCAGTTTCTCACAGAGGCATACGAAACATGAAATGTCCCAATTTATAATTACTTACCTAAACTTCCTTTTAACATTATCCACATTGACCACAGCTCATTAAGGTTGCTATGCACCAACTGTGGTCTGCTAGGTGACAATGCTGCATGGTCTTCACAGTCATGAGAACCTCAAATCTTAGTTAAATTACATCTTCATATATTATCCATTACAATCACAACAAAGAAATAAGCCAATGGGATGTGGCTTCACACAAGAGGAACATGTATTGTAATACCACAGTAAAAATTAAACACAGCTGGAAGAAGAAGTTCAGCCATTCAAACTGATGACAATGCTGTTTGCCACTGATACCACAAAGTCAATGGAGAAGTGAAATTTCTGTCTTTCCATGGCTAGCAAGTTGTGTGTCAATTTGCAAAGTTAGGCAGACCTTAAAACTCAATAGATGAAGGAAAACTTAACCCATCTTCAAAACTGAGACAAAAAATTCCAAAAATAAACCTACATACTACTGTTACTACTGACCTCCTTTATTTTGGCCTTCTTACTCCTCTTAGCTCGTGTCTTGTTACATTCTTTACTCTCACTCAAGGCCTCCCCTTCACAACGTGACTGCCGACATAATCTGCCGGCCCGCTCATAGGACCTGCGTGGTCGCTGTAATACATAAGCCCATACCTGGTTCAGTGTTCAATATACATTAAGAATCCCAATGAAGCCAGCACCTTAAAAACCAACATTTGCATTCTTTTTAAGGACAAGTCGCATGGATCAAGATTCTAGGATGTGGAACCTGGTGAAGGAAACCACAATAACGTGTGGGACACTTACCTTCACAAAGTGCTGCATTGGGACATTCTCATCCATGAACAAAACGGAAGTAGAAGAGTTGTGAGCTCCCCTGACAGCATCTGATGCAACTGGCATTTCTGAGACAGCTGGCTTAGACATAAGAGTAGTTTCTGTCTTTGGCCCTTTGTTTACCAACCTAAATGGTTTAGCATGTGGTCTTGTGAAACTTGGTTTCAGGTTTGGAGTGGAGCTCACTGCAAATGGGACTGATACAACAGGCTTCAAGCTTGTGGCCATCTTCACAGGAGACAATGACAACCGTAGGTCATCTTCTGATTCTTCATCAAAACCAAAGTAGTTATCAACAGTGAAGGTGTCTACTGACTGGATGCCATGAGTGCATGGTTGTTGAAGTTTCACAGAGATTCCTGGCTGTGAAGAGTGTTGCTCAGTGACAATGAATGAAGATGAGACCTGCTCAGGCTCAGCTTCACCAACACTAATCTTCAAATTGGAGTCC